GGGTGGGTACCGTGTTTTTTTTCCTGAGATGTGATACACTTTGAATTCTAGCCAATCATTTTACGTTTCCGAGGATAGTAGGCGGGGCCAGGTACGTACGTTCTTTTAGCTACAGATTAAAAATGCCCAAGGCGAAGCGGTCAAAAGTCTGGCTCTACTTCACAGCAAAAGATGCAAACTCAGCAGCAACAAGTGCTTTAAGCTGATACTGTGATGCTGTCAAAGGAGGTAACACCTCAAATCTGATGAAACACCTGACGACGCATAGCGTTTTTTTTAAAGCCGAGAAATGCGCCGTATTTGATGAAACTACAACACATCACATTACACTTCTTTGTCTCTGTCACAGCTGGATCACAGCCAACACACGTTAAATCCACTTTGACTTGTATCACAGACAAACTTAATCAATAGGGAAATAATTATTAGAAAAGACAAGTCTCGTTTACATGTTACAAGCTCTCCCCCCAAACTGTGAGGTTTCTAACAGGTAAATCTCACCTGCAGAGACAAACGGGAAGACTCCGACAAACAGCAACGTGGAGCAGAGCGACAGAGTCACAGCAGGCATGTCTGTGTTCTCAAGGTCAGATGATCCGACACTTTAATGGTGATAAAAGTCTGATTCTGTTGGTATTTTCACAGAATAACCGAACCTGAGTTTAAACCTGACACCATGAGATAAGGTTAAAATAAAGTTTTACTCGCTCGATGCCAAAATGTCCGACTCGTCTCTCACACACCGACGATCGATTAACGACGCCCACAGCCTCACCCACTCAGTACCTGCCTCAGTAGCTGACGCGGTAGGAAGTGACGTGTCGGCGGGTTTTGCGCTGTTTCGGCGCAAAACCAAAACACAGCCGAAACAGTGTCCGACATGATTAGAGATTAGAGACGTTGAGCCAGGAAAAGAACTTGAATAGAACTCCTTGCTAAGTAATAATAATAATAAACAGTTCATAACATAACCATAGCCATAACCAAAACGTTACCCTGATATCTCACAGAAATGTTACATGAAAATAAACAGATGCTGGCAACTCAGCTCTGTAGAGTGGGCAATCATTACTTGAAGGAAGTTGAAAGTCCGCAGAACGTTATAACGTATTACATTTGATGTTAGGAGAATCATACTTGCATTATAACAAATGTACATCACTAGCAATCACTAGCAAATACTTTAACTTCTACTTTCACTGTAAATAAACTCACTAAAGATATTTTTCCATTTCCTGTGTTTGCGTCCAGCCTGCAAATAGATCATGACAATAAAACTCTATTTCAATTAATTAAAAATATGCATATATATTATACTATAATCTAGATTATGAGCAGTTAAATGTTGCATCACCAACACAATAGAAAACAAATTCTTTGGTCGGTTTTAGGTACATAAACTAAGTTTTAATACAAAATCATTTGATGCTGCAGAGAGCATGCAAAACATGACATGACTTGAAATGTAATATAGAAAAAGTGAACTGAAAACTACACTTTTTTCTTTAATAGTTGGTATTATAATTGCACCAACACAACTGAGATTTTAAAAGTTTGCAACAAACTTTGCAAGTGGTGATCCACTGACAACCTAGACATTCATACTAGTCCCAAGTAAACAGCTCCCTCTAGTGGTCACATGAAGGACAAAAATGGAAAATGTGCAGCTGGTCTCTTCACTCATCTTAATTATCTCAATTCAAATCCTCAAGATGTTTTATATTGTAAGGTAAATACCTACAATAAAACAGAGACATCTTCAATGCCCTACGATAACAGTGGGTGGATTATAATCTTAAACTTAGTTGCAGCATTTTCAGAAAGACATCTACTTTGATAAAGTCTACTCTTCACCGCTGTGTAATCAATTATTGTAAATGTAAATGTTATCAGGAAATGATCAGACAGGAGAGGGTTTTCAGGAA